CTAGACAGAACTGAATTGATCAGAGGGCTTTGTAATGTAAAAACAGGATATTTGTGCTGTGAATTATAACCACATAATATGTGGTTTTATATTGCTCAATATGCACATATTAAGCCATAATATGTGCGCTGTTCCACCACTAGAGGTCTCCCTGCAGCTCACCTGCTCCTCTCTGTGTTTACCTCCCAATCCCAGCGCTGCTGTAACGGTGGCAAACTGGACAAAAAGCACCATCTTCAGCCCGGTGCGCCAGAAATACTGATGTAAGCTGCCTGGTGTTCCATCCTTCTGGGATTTTTTTGTCAGCTACACCGTGTGTTAGTGCCACTGTCCGTGGCGAAGGTGAGTTTGGTGATCATTGTGGTGAAAAATGGCTCAGTGACTCAAACACTGCGCGACCAGACAGACAGCAGCTACAGGCGCTAGCACCGTTAGCTTAGCATGAAGGATTGTGCACACGGGGATCTCTAAAGCAAATCAGGTTAGCACATTTCTATCCGAGGGAATTTTGTGACAACAAACTACTCCGAGTATATTCTTTAAATATGTTCCTTTCCTTTGGTTATACATTTTGGCAACGTTTGCTGATAAGTTTGTTAGCTTTGAGGCTAACAGTGCTACATATCAGTTTGGCTTGGCTAACAAAAACATAAATAACTCACTGGCAAAACGTTGCTGCTCCTTTAACATTGTCATTATTTGAGGCCACTTTGTGCCATTGTTTATATCCGCAACACAGGGAATTTAACTATTCATTCCCTAGTATATATTTGTCGTGACTATTCGGATTTCAGGCGTTAGCTCGCTAGCTAGCAGAAGCTACACCGAGCTTTTTAATGGCCTCCGCAGCTGCCTCTTTGTTGCCAGGGGTTCAAGTGATGACTGTAGACTGTTGTCGAGGAAAAATGTTAATAGTTTGGTTTTATGTCACAGTTTTATATCGAACCGCCGAGGTTTGCAGTCCCAGAAGGCGTCAGTTGGTGTAAATAACATCATCAATCTTGCTGTTGGCGGGTTTAATGGTCAGTGTGGTGCCAAACTCTGTACCTGCAGCTGCACACTTTAACGCTGACAGACAGCCGGACTGGTTGAACAGAATATCACTGATGACTGGGAGTCAATGAGAGTCATTTCTGTAATCAATAAAACCTGGTAATGTTTCCGTAGGGGTCATTTGGTTGTTTAGTTTGATCAAATGAAAAATCAAACCCGTTTTAAGCGCATGGTTCCAAACACAGGCTAGAAAAGTGTGGGTTTGATCAGATGAAAAAAAAGCAAAGCATGGAAAATACTTTTATTCCAACACATTACTCTGTTATCATTCTATTATAGAAGAGACACATCATTCATCCATTCATTTTCAAACCCAAGACCTTCTTGGAGCTGCACCACATTATAAATCCATCTGTCTGTTTATGCATCCATCCATTTATCCCTTCACGCTTCTGTACATCCACCCACCTGTCCTGCTTTTCTAATCATTATTCATCCATCCTTCCTCTGATGAACTCACTTAGGATCAATTCATCTCTGTTTTTAATGCGACTCTTTGTCTACACCAAGTTGTCACATGCTTTATTACAGTTTTAGTCAATTATGAGCTAAAAGAAAAGTTGGTTAAATGATTCCTACAAAATGCTTCTTGGCTGTTTGGTGTCAGTTTTGAAAGTTATTTGATTGATGTCTTGCTTGTTCTGATTTCTTGACCCAAATTATCTGCATTGGTAGACCTCAACCAGTCGGTGACAGGTAGTTTAGTCCAAAAAACAGTTGCTTAATTTAGACAAATGGAACAGAAATATCCCTTATTGTTCCACACAGTGGAAATACAAGTGCAACAGCAGCTTTAAGGTTCACACAAAATGTCAAAAGGTGTTAAAAAAATCAATAATAATAATAATATACTTTACAAGATGATGGCATCTTGTAAAGTACCGGTGCTTATTTTGCTAAAGCTCATACATGCAATTGATATTATTTTGAAAAATAGTCTCTTATATTTTAATCTATATTAGTTTTTGTGGAGATCATTCCTAAACCTCTCTAGTTAGATGATTGGATTCAGTAACTTTAAAATAGTTTCTCCTTTAAAGACATTCTAGATTAAAATTTGCACAAAACTTCAAAATCGTCACATTTTCCAGGTTATGATTAGACTTTAGTAGCTTATTTTGTCTTAAACTGGTTGTCTCCTAAACTCAGATGTTGTTTTTCGTCTCTGTAAACCGTAGTTTGTTCTTCCTTGACAGAAAGTGTGAGGATGTTCATCCCTGTTGGCGCCTGTCGCTGCCTCCTGCTCTGTTAAACATCTCCACTGAGGCTCGCTGCTCTTCAGGGCAATCAGACGCTTTAACTATTTTTATGTGTAGCTTGTGGCTGAGATTTATGGAAGTGGCATCTTTGGTTTCATGGATGGTTTAGAGGAGCGTTGCATGAAATTGGATTTGAATTTCTTAAGATACTGGGTTAGGTCAGCCCTCTGCAACACAGGAAGGAAGTTCTGCTGAGAACCATGTCTTTACGAATGGACTCTTTTTCGGTTTAATGTGCGCCTGGTGTGGAGAAACAGGGATTAAAAAGGATTTGTTTTTATGTAAAGTTGAGATAAAAGTGAACGTATTCCTGTTGTGACAAAAACCTGTACATTTTATTTAGACAGCAGTCAGTTAATTCAGGAGGGGAAAAAAGAAATATTGCATTAATGTGAATCTTACTAAACTTTTCTTTGGAAAATTACTTAAAATTTGTCTGAACTTGAGGACATCTCAGCTGCTATCAAATCACCTCAGATCTTCTGGACTTTAGTTAGGCCACTTCTGAGCTTTAAGTCATGATTCAGATTTATAGAAGTTCCTGTTCACTTGGTTTTAGACCATTAAAAGTTTTCCTACTTGCTTTTTGGAAACATGAAGGTATTTTTGCTAAATCTATCAGCACTTGGATGTTTTTCTTTGTCTGAAAAAACTTTTATCATCCTGCCGTATCCCAAAGCATCGACTCAAGAAGAGACTGTTGTCTCTACAAAGCCAGAAAAATAAATTTATTTTATTTTCCGCTTTAAAATAATGATTTTTTTTCTTGGCATTTTAGCAGCAGTGTTCATTGTTTTTATATTTTTATATCCACTCTGTATTGTAATCTTGTATAAAATACACTTTTAGGCCTATTAGGGCCACTTTGTTTCAGACTAGAAACAAACAGTTGATTTCCATAATAAATTCAACTGTGTGCCTGAAGCAGATCTGTTGTTTGTACTTTTATTTAATTTGAACTCATTGACTAAAAAAACATTCATTAAAGGAGCTGAAACAACAGGCTGTAACATTTCTGTTAGATTTCTTGGGGTGAGAAGAATAATTACGTTTCTGTGGGGATTTAATGACTAAAATAAAACCATAAACATGTCAAAATTTGACAGGTTGAAAATAAATTTGCTTAATGGAAATACCAATTTAACTAATGTCTTTGAGTTTTGCCGCTACGATGAAGTGGCTTTATGGTTGTATGGAAATTGGTTTATTTTGCAAAACTGTGATGGAAACACTTTTTTGCATCGTGAGTCACATGATCAACAACAAGGTGTTGCCACTGGTGCAAACTACAAACAACAAGACAAAGTGGTTGGAGAATGATGGCTTGGTATTTTTTTATAGTGTGAACATTTTTATTCACATGTAATTTTTAATTATGTTTCTTATTTCATGGAAACACTGCAGTTAGAAATTAATGTTTTTATGACGTTGGCAGAATATCAACAAAGATTTGTGCACATTTGTAATAGAAATGCAGCTTATGTCTCTTTGTCCTGCAGCCCATTAGTTGGGAATAAAACCCAGTATATGAATAATTTTTTATGCCAAAACAGAATAATCTGTTTCTGTCCTTATTGGTTGCCTTCTTACTCTCAGAAACATGGTTTCCTTTTCTTTGTTTTTGCCAATTCTGGCTTTAAAACACTCAAGTGATTGAACAGAAGCTGATTCTGTGTTGTTTGTTTTTCTTAAAGCTGTGATGAATAAGGAGATCATGTCCCGTGTGGTGAGGAAGAGGCAGGCGGATCCTAAGGTGGTCCAGTACGTGTGGGAAGCCATCGAAGTCATTCGGAACCAGAAACAAATCGCAAACATGGACCGGATCTCCAAGTAAGTTCATCACAGACACGCTGGCTTGTGGAGCAGATGCTTTCTTTTTTTAATTTGCTTGAGCAATTTTATTTCTACCGAATCTGTAAGCAACAAACTTCAGAACTTTGAATTTTAGTTGATCGTTGCAGGAACTAGAAGAGTTTGTGGTTTTTGACAAAGACACATGGCGTTGCTAGAACTTGATTACACAGTGGATTAGCAGAGCATTCACCTTCTAGATCAAACTTTGAATCATATTTAAAACTTTGGTCCAGTGTTGGTCCATTGACATAGATTTTATTTGCATTTAATGTTCTGCTCAGTTTCAGATTTTAAAACTTTAATGAAGGACAAGATAGACTGCAAATGTTGAAGAGTTCAGTGTTTGTTGTCACATTAGATCTTATAAAAATAACTGAAAAAGAAGTTGGGTTTTCATTATCCATGAGCAGTAATCATCAAAGTTACAGAAAATAAAGTCTTGAAATGTTTCACTCTAATGAATCTGTATATTACTTTCTGAAATATTAAACTTCTTCCACAATATTTTTTTTAGATGTTCCTGTATTGAGTACAGATATTTCTTTGCGGTGTTTATTGTCAATTTATTGCTGAAGAAACAAAATTAATAATTTACATTAGAGCTGCAGAGTCTATCAAATTGCAGATGTCATTGATATATGGCAAAATTAGCATCACAAAGCAATGTTTGGAAAAATATTAAATAATGTTGGAGCTAATGGAGTGGAAGAAACATTACTACATAACAGCATTACAGGGGAAAACTTTCCTAAAAGCATACATCTCTAATTTACATTAATTAAACAATTGTTGGTCCATTTAAAACCACTAAAAGCAGCTCTGAGCAGGTGGGTCTTTAGCTTTGATTGAAATGAACTCAGTGTTTCAGCTGTTTTGCAGTTTTCTGGACGTTTGTTCCAGATGTGTGGAGCAAATCCTGCAGACCTGAATGATCTGAATGGTTGATACAACAGCAGATCTTTAATGCATTTTGGTGCTGAACCGATCAGTGATTTATAAACTAACAGCAGCATGTTAACGTCTTTAGAGCTAGTGTGATGTGCTCCATCTTCCTGGGTTTAGTGAAAAGTTCTTTTTTTTTAAGGCAGACCTGTGAAGAAGCTGTGGCAGGAATCAATGCGACTAAAGATAAATGAGTTTGTCTAGATCCTGCTGGGACATTAGTTATTTAATCCTGGAAATGTTCATCAGCCGATAGAAAGCCGACTTTATGTGGCTCTGAAGGTTCAGATCAGATCCCGTTATTAAAGCTTTTAAAAGGTAAAAATTGAAGAGGATTTTCTACAAACTCAAAATGTTTGGAGAAATCTCCAAAAAGCTGCTTCCGGTTGGTTAACTTTTTCCTTCTCTTGGCAACATGAGGTTAAAAACATCAGACAAAGAAGCCACTAAAACGGTGATCAATACTTGTTGCTGCGTTGCTAACATGAGGCTCATCCATCCCATAATGCATCACCCTCCCTTCCTCCCTAAGTGGCGGGTTGATGATCCTCCACCGCTCTGATGCTTTATGGCTCAGCGTCCAGATTAATGAACAGCTCCTCTGCTGCAGACCAAACCAAACGCTTTCAGCAAGTTGGCGAGCACCTTGGGAGCTGGCTGCTCGCCAAATGAGTGTCGGCGGAGAGTGGCTGTTGTCATGGCAACAGTACGCAGCGGCATGCAACGGATAGCCCCCCCCTCTCTCTTTCTCTCTCTCTCTCTCTCGGCCTCCGCCCTATCTCGCCCCTCTGCAGCTTAACTTCAGCGTGAGCTCAGCGGCTGGCGAGGTGGCGGTGATTACGTCGGCTCTGGAGGAACCGAGGGCGACGGGTGGCGGTGGGAGAATGATTAACCGGCTAGCCAACCAAACAGCTTCAGATCAATTAGTTATTTATTACCAAAAAGGTTCAGTTACCTGCAGATGTTCTACCGGGTTTTTATTGAGAAGAAGAAGAGCACACATACAGGTTTTTATGTTGCTAAATGAAACAAATATGTTTTTGTTGTCATGTTTAGTTTAGGGGTGGGTTTTTATCGTACCGTTTATCAAGAGACACTGCAAAAACACAAAATCTTACCAAGTATTTTTCTAGTGCTAATATCTTAGTTTTGTCTTATTTGAAGTGGATCAACTTAAAAATACATTTTCAGCCTGATATAGGAGCTTATTTTAAGTCAATAATTACTTAATATTGGTGAAAATGTTCTAGTTGCATTGGCAGATTATTTTACTTGTAACAAAACATTTTCCTCTTTTGAAATAATCTGCCAATGGAAGTGGAACTTTTCATCAATATTAATGAATTATTTACTTGAAACCAGCTCCTATATGTTCCTGAACAGTTACTTGTAAGTTAGTTTTGTCTTTTTTTAAAGTTTATGAAGATATTTGGTTTAGGAATGAGACAAAAGATACTTGGTAGGATTTTGCGTTTTTGCAGGATAAGAATTAAAATTAATTCTTTTCACAATAAATTTCAATTAATGATGTTTAAAACCTCCTAAAATTGTCTGTATTTTGGGGATTGTTAGTCTTACCACTTTTTCCATTTTTTTTTCTTTTTCATTGAGATCATCAGTCGATGTTAAAACATTAGAAAATATGATTAAATGTAGTTCATCTGTGCAGTTTAGGGATTTAAATCACATTTCTTTCTGTGACTGGTGGCCTAAAGAAGTTTGTTATCTGATTTTTAGAGGAGGATTTGTGGAGCTATGTCGTACCAAAAGTTGCATCAAAAGAAGTAATAAGTTGTTAATATTGTCACTTTTATGCTAGTACAATATTGTCACAAAATACTGTGATAAAACTTTAACTTTGTATCCATCCGCCTCTTATCTGGTTTGGATAACAACAGCTTTGGAGCAAACTCCTGACAAAACACGAAACTCTGCTTTGATTTTTCCATTTAGTAATTCATTCGATTAAATGCAGTTAATGCAACATTTAATGTGAAAATAGTCAATCAAACAACGTGAGGCCATGAAACGATACATAAACTCAACAAACACACATTTACAGCAGGCGATTCAGAGTCTGGCTGCTTTATTTCTGGTTCTGTGTTAATCGGCTGCTTGCAGGAGACGATCAGACTTCACCTGTTTATGGCTTGAATCATTTCCTGGTGCTTCCTGACGTTCGGACCGTTTCGTTCTGTAATCTTGGCTGACCCGGGTCCAGCCATGAGGCTCGCTCTGCTCTTTTCTCACGTTGTTAACGACCAAACACAGACGGCGACCTTCCGGCTCAAGGCCACAGCAGAGGGTCCGTGACCTTTCACACCGAGGTTCCCTGCACATCAGCAGGCAGCTGCAGGAATCGGAGGAGAATTTAAAAGTAAAGTTCAGCTGTCCAGCAGGAACGTTGTTAAAAAAATGAGAGAGAAAGAAGTTGCACATAAAATTTTGAAGCTGAAAGAACATGTTGTATATTTATGATTTCTCTAATCCAGCTGATGCACTCTGCCAACTTTTTCTCTCTCTTCTCATAACTCTGAGATTTCCAAAATGTTACAAATCACAATTTTTTTTGAGAGGCAGAACGCTCTAAAGGATGAAACGGAGGCGCTCAAAGCGCGGCGAGGGGCCCGTTTGCAGTCCTTGGAATGATTTTTTAGAGGATTAAGAATGACACAAATCTGACCCACCACATGGATACCGTTTCATTTTTTAGAACAGGATTTCCACTAATAAAATCTTAAAATGGAAAGTTTTTGGTACAACACAAAGTAGTTTTTATGCTTGATGTAGCAGTTAAAAGCAGGTTTTGGATAGGCCCTTTTGTTAATCAGCAGTCTGCAAAGAGAGCGACCCACATGCAGCGACCTCAACATTTCAATCTCAAAACTTGTATTTGTTTCTTTTAAAGGTACAGAATCATGTAAAATGTAACTTTTTTTAGTTAGCATGTTATAATGTTATTCGCTCATGTTGTCTTGATGCTTTCTTGCATGTTTGGGAAATCCTTTAATCTCCTCGGTATCCTGTTGAAAACGCCTGGCTGGACTTAGCCCCGCCTTCGAGGCGCAGCATGTTGAAGGCCTTGTCTTGGCTCTGGCCTCTGCAGGTACCTGAGCCGGGTGTTCGGCATGCACCCAAAGGAGACGGCGCGGCAGCTGAGCCTGGCGGTGAAGGACGGGCTGGTGGTGGAGACGCTCACCGTCGGCTGCAAGGGCTCCAAGGCCGGCATCGAGCAGGAGGGCTACTGGCTGCCTGGAGACGAGATGGTGAGTCCAAAACCGGATCCTGGAGGTTACCGGGGGAAAGGATGTACAAAATGATAGAAAAAAAACACATTTTACTTATTTATTTCTGTTTGTTAATCATAATAACCTTTTACACATATGGTTTAGCGTTATCTGGTGAGATAGTTTAGGCTTCACTGGTTAGAGTAACTTGATTTATATTAGAGATGCACTGATCTGATATCAATATCTGTATCGATCCTGGAATAAAAAAATCTAGATTAAATATGAGTGACAATGTGTCTAATCCAATAAGAGCAGATCTATTCAGTCTAATTCTATACTTTGTGCTCTGAGTGACGTCCCGCTTTATTTACTTTACATTATATTCAGCATTTCTAATTGGAGTTTCTGAACCAGTTGAAAGGTTTGTTGCAGTTTATTTTTACTTTTCACCAAAATAAACAACCTGTTGTTTCTTCCCGTTTCAGTTTCTTTATTTATTTTACAAGTTAAAGTTGTTTTTAAATGTTTGACCCAAGCTATTGAAGCTCTTGGTGTATTTACGTGTGTTGCACTGGCACAGAGTTAACATACATTTGTAATTCAGCACATTAAAAAAAGGTTTTAAGCCTTTGAACACAGATTTTTCTGTATCTAAGCCTCAGATATCGGCATCAGAAGTTAAAAAAGTGAATCAGTGCATCCCTAATTCATAAATATATCAATATTTTGGCTCCTTTAGTCGTGTCTGTAGGCTTTTTAATACCTGAAAACAGAAGATTATAAAATTTTCTCAGTGAAAATCACCGTAAAGGTGAAGATACCTGAGATTCCGTCACCATAAATGAATCTGTTCCATATGAGAGTGATGTGGGGGCAGATGCGACGTCTGCAGATGTCGCAGTCCTGTTGCTGCAGCCGTAGACGCTGATGAGTAACGAACGGCGCAGCAGACGGCGCGAGGCCATCTGTCAACACGCCTTACGAGTCTCCGCTCCAGCAAATCGCTGCAGATCGTCCTTGAGCTCCTTTTATTCTGATAAACGTCTCAAAACAAAATGGAGAGATGACACAAAGCGCAGAAATCAGTTCTGTTGGAGAAATTAGAACAAAACACAAGACAGCCACAAAATTTATGGTTTTAAGGGGATTTTATGTGATAAAAAGTGGAAACAAAATGATTGAAAATTGTTTTTTTGCACTGCAAACAGTATTTTTGTGTCTTAGTTTTGTCTTATTTCAAGTCTTGTAACTTGCAGGGTAACTTTTCACAAAGATACACAAGCTTATTTTAAATCAATAATTCCTTAAATGTTGATTTAAAATACTTGTAAACTGACAGATTATTTCACTTATAGTAAAATGTCTTGTAGGTGAAATAATCTGCCATTGGAACCAGCACATTTAGTTAATATTAAAGAATTATTAATTTACACTTCACAACTTCTCACTAGTTTGTCTCATAAAATCCCAACAAAATACATAAACAACAAAAGTTTGTGGTTGAGTATTTTAGCAAGGCGCTGTACTTAAAATCTGTTCCTAAAGTTCTTCCTTCATGTTTTTGTTTCTTGGTTGTGATTTTTACATTTACTACTGACAACTCAGCTGAACTTAAACTTTAACAAAACCTGGTCAATTTGACGACTTCTCTGAAATTATAATGAACATGTTTGATTATTTCTTTAATTGTCTATGAGGTCTGGTAATATTCCTGTCATATTTTATGTTGAGAAATCAGATGAGGAAAAGTTTTAATGCCAAAACCAGAAACGTTTGTTCTGACCTCCTTGTCATCTCTGCATTTTGTTTTATCATGAACGAACAGTGGATTTTGCAGGTCGTTTTAGTTACATCTTTATAAAATATATGTATAATTGTGTAAAAGTGCAGATTTAGGTCATGCTAGTGATGTCCAGAGGAGCTGCAGTCGTGTTAGCATCATTTAAACACTCCTCTCTGAATCACTTGCAATCACAGGAGCCGAAAGCCGAGGGCAGCAAGGTAAGGCCTGCATTGATGTTTCAAACCAGGGTTTGTTTCTCATTTGATGCCCTGTTGCCCCCCATTGTCCCCCCCCCCCCCAACTAACATCATCATGTGAGAAATCAGTCCTGCCACAAACGGTGCTGTCAAGGATCGGAGTGAATCTTTTTTTTTTTTCCCAGCACGCTGCAGAAAAAATTCACATTGGTTGATTTAAAACTAAAAAATGGTGGAAAATCTTTAAATTTCCTCCAGTTGCATGACTCTGCATGTTTCCTCTCAGCTTTAAGCTGGGCCCTGTGATTCAGCTCTGCTGTAAAAAAGCTCACGACGGTCCGACGCAGCGCTGTGGCTACTTTTCCTGAAAGTGAGCGATGATTTTACTGAAGCAGGATCTGGCTGCCAACCTGCAGGTTTCCTGCTGCTTGACTTAAAATCAAACCAAAACCTGGAGCTTCTCCACTGGAGAAACATCCTGCAAATCATTCAAATCAAAACATCATGAGACGTCATGCAGGTCCAGCTTGGCTGAAGGTCGGCAGCGATCCCCAGTGAGCTTGGTAGTTGTAGTTTTTTTCAGAAGAAGTGTGTCCTGCTGTGATCTTGCCTCTTGTCTGGCATGCTTTTTCTGCTCTGACTGGGACTGTGGGAGGGGTTAGCCGTCTCTGCCTGCTGCTAGCAACCCGCCCTGCTGGTTATTTCAGGAGAGAAGTCACTGAAAGGACAGAGCAGAGTGTGATGGTGAGGCCGGAGGCCCGTTCTCCCTCCGCCGGTACCTGGATTCAGTCCAGCTGGCCTGAGCTGCATCCTCTGCCTGACCTCAGAAATATTTGCTCCTCAATCAGAAACCTGCTGCGTTTCCATCCCAAACACACATTTTACAAACCAAAGTTTCAACTCTCTGCCTCAGGCCAGGTTGGGTTGAGTCCAGGTTTCACCAAAATGATCAGGTTCTGAAAAACTGCTGAGTATTTCAAACTATTAAGCTGTTTTATTTTAAGTGTGTCCTGTATTTGATTGATTAAAGCATTATTATGTTGCTGCTCTGTGTCCAAACATTAAAAACCTGTTGAATCCCATCGGCCTGTTGCCAGGCTTTTTTTTTTTTTTTTACTTCTGGAAACGTTTTGGCTTTAAGCAGCTAATTTAAATTTTGAAATAAAATAATATGTTGGCTAATCTAAGCGATATAAATTTCATGTCACCTCTTTACTTCCTGTCTCAAGAGGAAGTCAATTAAATACTTTAATGAACAAAGAAACAAAGATGGGGATCAAAATATAAATTAAGTGGACATTTTGGTATTTTAGGACAAAGACGACAATAATTCATATAAGTAACAAAAATAACAAAATCAGCCAGAATAATTTTTTTCTGAATCAGTTTCTTTGAATAAAAAACTGATGAAACTTTAACAAAAACTGCAGGTCTGTGTCTGTGGTGAATGTTTTGGTTAAAACATTTTTTCATTCAGTGGGTAGAAAATCCAGAAATTTTACTCAATTAAGAGAAATGATACTTCATAATAAAACTACTCAAAAGTAAAAAGTACAGCGTAGTAGAAATACTGCTAAAAGTAAATTTTTTCAAAAATAGTTACTCAAGTTAATGTAACTGGTAAATAAGTGTGGATGACACTAAGCTAGGTGTCAAAGGTCAGGCTGTTTGTCATATTATTCTTGTTTTTTTTTCCCACACTGCTTAAAACTATTATCTGTCTTGGATATTCTAAACCTGAAAGAACCTCAAAACGATGTTTTCTATCCGTCTTTCCTTCAGTTGAAAAAGATCCACTGATGACGTCTGTTTGTTTCTTAAATTTATTCCAAACTGAGTGCAGGTGTTTCACATCTCTGCCGTCAGGTTGTTTATGGCAGGCTCAGCTCAAGCCCAGCCCTGGAAAGCTGCTTTCCTTTTTTAGATGCTTCGGTCAACAACACACCTAAAGGAAACAACTGAATTTCCTCAGCAGCGGGTCAATCAGGTCGTAACGAGTCGTTCGTTTGATTCTGGTGTGTTGGAGAAACGATGCATCGGTCCGACACGTTCAGGAGAGCGTTTCGTTATTTCTTTAGTTTTTGTTCATAAACTTGATCTAAACGTGGTGAAGGCCGCTTTCTTTAAACCTGGTATTAAAAACCAGATAACGACGTTTCATGAGAGTTTGAACATGGCACATTTCAGAAACCGCTGATCATTATGGATGATTTTCCTGTATTATAAATTATCCCAGTAGTTATTGTAATAAAAAACAATATTGTTGTTTTGAGACCATTTTAATGCAATGTAATGCTAATGGCATAATAATGTAAAATCATATTCTCAGAGATCAATAATCTTTACATTTTAATGAACATTTAACTCTGGAACTGGAAAACATTTTAAATATCCAAAAATAAATAAACAAAACAGGGATGACAAATAAAAAGCACCAGACTGAAAACTTTTATCATCCAGTTTTTGGTAGAAAGAGAAAAAAGAAAAATGAAATCATGCAAATAGATTATTGACAGATTAAATCTCCAGTGGAATAAAGGCAGCAGGAGCTTTAATAACCACTGGTGGCATCAACCTGCAGCAGCTGCACCAGGCGGCCATGTCACCTCGACGGAGGTTTCTCACACCCTGCTGATTATACTCCATGAAGCATACGATGCCAGCAAGGTGTACCTAATGAAGTGGCCGTGCGTGTGCTGTCCATTGATGAACGCTTTGATCTCAGGCGGCGTGTCCTTGGCTCAGAGCTGCAGTTTCTGAAGTGTGCCACTTATCTTTGATCAGAGTAGCAACAGGAGAGCGGCTCTTGACTCTCTGAAGGACCATCCTCGTGTTTTCGAGTGTTTGTGCTGCTGAAGAGTCTATTACTGGTGAAGAGGAAGTAGATGTCCTCTGGGAAATCTGTTGTGGGTTTCAGACTAAATAGATTTGGATTTTAAACCTTTTAAAGAGACAGTGTCATGTATTTTTTAGCTTTACCAGGAATGTTGCAGCTCCTCCCCCATTCAGCTCCTTCAGACTAGCCAGCAGCAATTAGCAGACATTTTCTGAGCCCATTATAGGAGCCACTTCTCAGTGAAACGTTGGTAAAAATGTTATTAAGGGGTTAATGGAGGAGCCATGTTGTGATGACTTCCTGAAGGTGGAGTTTCAGAAAGAGCAGGAGCTTCTTAAAGAGACAGAGACCCAATTTCAAGACGATAAATTATAGTCAAATTTATTTTGTCATCCTTAATATATATATAGCATCTTTAACAACTGAAGGAAGCCTAGTAACTTGGCTGTGCTATAAAACGACACTCTGTGCCTGGAACTCGTGTAATACTGCCTTAATAGTTTTTAAATGAGAATAAATCTGAATTTATTCTTTGCTCCATTGAAGCTGCAAAAATGGAACCTCTCCATTATCCCTTTGCTACGTTTTACAACTTTCTGTGTCTCAGAGTTATGCAATGAAGATGAGACAGGTGTGATTTCTCTGTTTCATTTTTCCGTTGGGAACTTCCAGATCCTTGTCATACATTATTTACGGCATTATTGGGTTTAGTTTTCACTAATTAAGCTTCACATTTTGTCATGGTTGCAGTAAAAACGTATCTCGATTGCTGAGTGGGCTACTTCAGTGTCTTTCTCTCTAAAGATCCTGGTGTCTTTCTGTTGATGAGGCCATTTTTCCAGTTTTCCAGTTTTAGAAATGTTAAAAAACAGAAACCTTTGCAGAATGTTTTGTGCATGGCAGCTGCTGCGTTTATAACCTTAAAGCAGCTACATCAGCAGGTCACAAGCACAACACAGGAGAGCTCTGATTTATTAATTCATTTAGTTTTTAATAAGCTCTGCAGTTTGCTACAAATTTCCGGCGCTCCGCTCCTAAATCTGCCCAGACGTTGTGTGGGAGGAACTGGAGCGGGATGAGTGTGTGGACATGAAAATCTCCTGATTATCGTTGATAAACTACTTCACAGTGTCGGTGCTGGTCGGTCATGATTAATAAATGGAAACAAATTAAAGTTCTTACAAGGTTTAAGTATAACTCAGGCGTGGCTATTTTCATACTGAGATTGAATACCTGCACTCTTTTAGGTTTTACATGAACTTATCTGGTTTTTAATCTGAGATTTAGAGGTTTAGATAAATATACAACACTTACTGAAACATAATTGTTTAGCACTGAATTGTATTAAGTTTTAACATTGATCCAAAATAAGCTGCTATTAACAGTTTCTATATCATATATGATTACAGAATTCTCCATTCTGCAGCTTTTTACAAAAGTTTTCAGGATAAAATGTATTCTTGTCTATTCAGAGTGGAAAATATTTACTCATCCATCTGTTTTTGTTTTAATCAAGGACACAGATTTGTTGCATTGCAGCACTTTCTAATTGTTTGACATAAATTTAACTCCCAATCAATTTTTGGTCAAAGTTGGTTGCATATTCTAACATCAGAGAACGCTTCCTGTTAATTAATACCTCATAATGTAGCACTAATGGTGGTTTATACCAAAATAAATCATGGATAGGAATCAGAGCAGATTTTAGGAAATAGATGTTGTTTTAGAAACACCCTGAATCCCGTCCAGCAGAACAAACATGTCGGCTGTAGTTTGGAGGAAGGAGAAGCTTGTTTCCTCCCTGCTGCGCTCGGCCGTGGACGGGCTGGGGGGTCACCCAGACTGGTTCTCTGCTGTTTGTCCTCTGCAGGACTGGGAGGCGGAGAGCCACGACTGGTACTGCTTCGACTGCCACCTACCAGGCGACGTCCTGCCCTGCGACAACTGCTTCCGGGTCTATCATCTCAAATGTCTGCCGGAGGAGTGCAAACCCAGAGACGGAGGCTCCCACTGGCAGTGCGTCGTCTGCAGGGTGGGTGCCCTTATAATAAAGATGTTTATTTACTTTTATGTAATTCATCCATGAAGCTGATTTCAATTAATAAATCAAATTTGTAAAGTGATTTTCATCATAAAAACATAAAAATAGTCACCAATTCAGAAACCAGTAACTGCTACATTGTATTGAGTACCACCATCAAAATCATCAAAACGCATCAAATATGTTGGTCAGTATTTAATTTGTCCAGCAGGTTTTTACCTTGATTTAAAGGAACTCAGTGTTTCAGCAGTTTTGCAGTTTTCTAGAAGTTTGTTCCATAAAAACTGGATGTTACTTCTCCATGCTTGGTTCTGGTTCCTTTTGCTGCCAAGTTGTTGAGTGATTTCTAAACTGCCAGAAGTACTGAAGTCTTTTCTCTGAGCTGCTATCTGAGTCAGTGGAAGGTGATGATGTTGGAAAAAAGTTATTAAAATGTTGGAGTCGCCTTTTAAAGCGTCTTCTGTCCTTTTCCCTCCTTCAGGGAAGTAAAAAGAAGAACCTGAACAAACAGGAGATGTGTAAATACCTGCGCTTCATCATCCAGCGGATGAAAGAGAGGGTAAGAAATGCTAATATTCATAACTGTTATCACAATATTCACACCCCTGATGTTTTGCATATCAATGTTATTTTGCTCTTGAAGCTGGAAGTGCAAAGTAATCTTTTCCATTTTCTGCTCGATCTGCCCACTTCTGTTATCAGAAGTCTTTTAATGGATTTAGTGAGGACTGTCCTCTTAAACACCAGCAGTTTTAATCTGTGGCTTTTCATCCAATTTTTAGTTGTTAGATTACAAACAGGCTCATTAGATTTTAGGATTGGATGATGCGGCTTTAAAAATACAATCTCAGGTTTTTCAATTTCTGATTTTTAGGTATTTTTTCCTCCTTTCTTTTTAAAAAAAAAGAAAATACAAATTACAGAAAATATTTTCAAAAATGTTTTTTTTACTTCAACTTCCCTTTTAGTTGAATTAGTTGACCTAATTTCAAAATCTAACAAAAAACAAGCAGTAAAACATCCTTGTAAAACAAGATGGATGCTGTACAGGCTGACATCACTCATTAAATCTTCATAAAGTGAAATGTTATTGCTTTTCCTCATTAGATGTTTTATAAAGTGAATATTAGAAAGGTCAGACTGACTTAAACATGCAAATGCTGAAATCAGCTGAAAATAGTTTGAGACACATTTTATAGACTTTGGAAATGTGTTTCAAACTCCAATATTACATAATTTATGTAAAAAATTAAATATGTCGAGACACTTTCCACAAGCAGCACATGTGAAAATGAAAATGCATTTTATTGGTGTTGGTAATGGTAAGATCCAGCTGTTTTCTCTCCACTAATTTATGAATAAAACCCAGAAAATGAATCAGTTTAAACATTTCAGCTGGATTTAAGTCTCTCTACAGCAGTGCAGCTTCCAACAATAACCATCAGGTTGCCTGAATCGAGCGTCCTTGTTTTGTTTCCACATTAGACTCCATTTTATTTCTCCCCTGTGAAGGAGCAGTGAAGCTCATCGTTAACTCTCCTCTCCGTTTCCCCGTCGGCTCGTCCGGCTCCTTTTACGAGCTCACAGTAAATCCTGCCTGTCCTTGCTCTGCTCTGCAGGCAGTGGATCTGAACAAAAAGGGCAAAGACACTAAACACCCCATGTACAAACGGCTGATCCACACCGCGCTGGACGTCTCCAACATCCACGAGGTAAAACTGCACCGTCTGATTGGTTCCTAATACAGATCAACCATCATCAGATCAGACTGGGTGGTTCACTATGCAGAAAGCAAACATGATTATTAAAAGATAAATACTTTATGTTTACCAAACATTTTCCATTTTAAGAAGATTTCAGTTTGTCAGTGAAACCTTTGCTCTTATTAAACAGAAAACCAAAATCTCTACATGAAGAGATTTTAAAAATGCGATGGGTTTCAGACGTGGAGTCGGGAAATCTTTACTTTTGAGCCTTGAGATATTTAACTTTTTTTTCCTTTTCATTACACATTTTGTTCACTGAAAAATACTGTAAAGTTTGAATTCAGTTTTAAAATAAGCATCAGTTATAGAAACAACCAAACGGTTGGTGGTGTTGGGGGGAGTGTTTCTGTCTGTAGTCTGGGGGAACTGGGTCTTTGGGTTCTGATCAGTGGAACATCAGAGCAGCAAAATGTTGGCTTCCTGCCCAGACCTCTGTGTGTGTGTGTGTGTGTGTGTGTGTGTGTGTGTGTGTGTGTGTGTGTGTTTGTGTGTTAATAAACACACTGCCCTCTCCTGATCCTCTCCATGTCGGTCATCGAACCCACACAGTCTCACTCCGTTCATGTTCTTCTCTCTGTCGGTTTTGTCTCCATGTGTTTCCTTCTGTTCCAGAATCTGACTGAAGGAAAATACAAAACCTTCGAGGAGTTCAAAGCTGACGCTCAGATGATCGTTCATAACACTGCCATCCTGTATGGAGGTATTCTGATAATTCCCAGGAACTAATACTGCTCTACGGCTGATAACCGATGTTTACCTATAACCGCTCACTAAGAGCTGAAATATGTGATTAAAAACATCTTTTAAGTATTTATTCTTTCCCAAGGAAGCAAATGAAGACAACATCACAATGTTTGAGTGATCAGAGTGGACCATCATGGTAGCTTTGTCAAGCTTCATCAGTAAAAATGATAAAAACTGAATCAGTTTCACATACTCTTGAGGTATAATACTTGATCTCTACATGAATGTCTCTATAGAACAGTAACTGCCTATTTTCATAGTTAATAGGCCAAATAAACCTCAACATGCATTAATACGCTCAGAGGAAGCCATCTTGGCGCGACCACAGAAGCTAACACCTGTAGTCTTCAGTTCAGCCAATCGGCTCCAAGGAAAGTAAATGCTGCTCCTGGATTGGCTGCTTTGCAAATCCAGCCAATAGCAGGTCAAGTAGCTATTAGTATTAAAGCTTCCCAGGATGAATTTTCTTTCAAGTATTTTAGATGAACTCTCAATAAAATCTGCGAATAATTTGGATTATTTTATTATCTTCACTGTAAAACTGCTGGTTGGAAGCAACAGATAAATTTTTAACACTTTAGCGTTTTGTCTCATTGTGTTTGTCGCAGTTCACAGCGACCAGGCGGAGATCGCACGGCTGCTGTTTAGCGACACATGCCACGAGGTACGCTGGGTTTTCTCCTTCACGTTCGGAGCAGCGGCGCTTCAACGTGTCCATTTTTAAAAATATATATTTACATTAAACTCCTTTCCTTTTTGCCTCTTGTCTGTTGCAGTTGAACGAGTTGGTGTTGTGTAAGAACTGTTTCTACCTGTCGAACGCCCGGCCAGAAAACTGGTTCTGTTATCCCTGTGTGAGTAGAACCGAACCGAAGCTGTAACCACGGTAACCCTGCTGACAGCAGCACCACAAACGTTAAATATTTCACGTTTTCGGCCGCATCACATTAAAGTTTAGCTGTTTTCTTTCTTCTTTTTTATTTGATGCAGAATTGTACAGGACAATGTTTTTTAGTGCTTTATTGAGATGAAATTTAAATTTAAAAACATTTTGAGATAAAATAAATGGATGAAATAAAAGAGCAAATGTTCTAACATTGTTTTAAAGCTCATGAACATCTAAAACTGAACATTTATCTGAAACTTAGTGAAAATAAGTTCTTCTGCTAGTTTTTCCTTCCTAGTTTTCTTCAGCCGCAGCTAATTGATTTTGCCAAAACTGGTATTTTATCCATCAAAATGAGTAAAATATTTGACTATGACACAAATAGCTGTACCAAGGCTGCAATGATTAAGAAGATTATTTGTGATTCATTGGTTGTTGAAATAATCAACCAATTTAATGATCTTTAATCAATAACTGGGGTATACAAACTCAAAAAAGGCCATTTACTGAAAAAGCAACATATTCAGAGCAGTAATGAAGTCAAAACATTTTGAAGTTAAGATAAAAACTTCAAAACTTGAGTTTTACCCAAAACTCAAGTGGATTTTTTTTATATTTACTTGGTTCAAATTCACTGAAGGAATGATGTGTTATTGCAAAAGCAATAAAAAAGTTTTTTGTTTTTTTTAAAAAACAAAAAAAAAAAAAAAACGGAATTGAATTATTTTTTTTGCATCTTTTAATGTTATTCAAATATTGAATAGAAAAGACTTAAGTGATTAAGTAAAAAATTTACACGTCTTTTTTTATTTTTGTCTAATTAATCAGTTACTAAAATAATCGTTAGTTGCAGCCCTACAAGCTTAAAGTTCATGTGCTAAATTTTTTTTATTCATACTTGAAACGACTGCTTCAGATGCAGAGAAGCGGTTCTGAAGTTCTGTTTCTGTTTCCTCTGCAGACTCCGAGCCACGACCTGGTCTGGGCCAAGATGAAGGGCTTCGGCTACTGGCCCGCCAAAGTCCTGCAGAGGGAAGACAACCAGGTGGATGTTCGCTTCTTTGGCCACCAGCACCAGAGGTGAGAGCAGCTGACACACAGGGATGCACCGATCCAGCACCGATCCACTGTTTCTGATACCTATCCAGCACCGATCCACTGTTTCTGATACCTATCCAGCACCGATCCAGGGTTTCTGATACCGATCCAGCACCGACCCACTGTTTCTGATACCGATCCAGCACCGATCCACTGTTTCTGATACCGATATCTGACGTCTATTATCAGCCTAATCGATTCATAAAAACAGCTGAACCGACATAAAATGGTTCATTTAAAAGAAGAAGATGAAACATGTAAACACAACTTTAATTTGTTCAGTCAGTGCAGACAGTCGTGTTTTGATAATAAAAGTGAATTAATAATAAAAGTGAATTTATTTCTCATTTTTAGGCAACTGTATGGATGTGACTGTGTCACAGCAATTATAGCCCCACAAACACAAATGCTGCTCTAAAAACATTCCGACTTGTTTCACACTTTTAGAATTTGAATTTTAAATATAATGTAAGATGAATAATGAAGCAAGACGTCACTCAGAGCACAAAGCATAGAAATAGACCGAATAGATCTTGGAACATTGTCACTGATATCTGATTCAAAACTCTTTAAAATATCGGGATCGGCACAGATCTTAATATCGGATCGGTGCATCTCCGGCAGTGTTTCCTCGTCTGGTCCCGTTGATCCATATGTGTTTGGTTCTGGTCCGGTCCGCAGAGCGTGGATCCCGTCTGAGAACATCCAGGACATCAAGGTGAGCGTCCAGCAGCTGCAGGTGAAGCGCAGCAACGGCTGGAAGAAGGCGTGCGAGGAGCTGGAGGTGTACCAGCGCTTCCTGAGGGAGGGCCGCTTCTGGAAGACAAAGATGGAGGACAGCCCTGCGCCGCACCAGCAGAACCAGAACCAGCGGAAGCAGCAGCAGGACGAGGAGGAAGACGAGGAGGAGGAAGAGGAGGAAGAAGAGGGCGAAGAGGAGGCGGCCAGCAGGAGGACGCAGAGACCGGAGCGGACGGACGAAGCCGAGTCCAGCATCTCGTCCACCAGCAACGAGCAGATCCGCCACGTGAGTCGGGTCACAGAAATAAATGGAATAATTACGATCAGTATTTACAGTTTTATTTCTGTTTTTAACTGAGTCATAAATTAATTAGCATAATGACCAAGACAAATAGGAAATGCAGCTTAACTTGACTCTGAATTGATCTGAATTCTCACTGCAAAGCAACCATCTATAAATATCTGTAAACAGATCCAACAGCGCCACCATGTGGTAAAACAACAGTATTTGGTACTGTCCAATATGTCTGTGGTTGCAGACATATTGCATTACTTCCTGCATTGTTGAGCTCAACTCTGGACTATTTTACTGAGAATCATCAAAACTGAAAACGCCAGTAGAGTTATAAACAACAAGACTGTTAGTTTAACTTCTAATCTGATTGTTGGAGTTCATTTTAGTTTATTTACTTAAAGAGAAATGACACATTTAAGTCCAGTTGTAATAAAATGCAGCCAAATTAATAGAATTTGGTAAAACATTTTCTGTCTAGAAAATTCTAACAAGTGTTTTCTATGTGGTAGCAACCTGAAGAGGAGAAAATGCTGTTTTTTATTAAAAATTGAACTTACACCCAGAGTTGCTGCTTGGCGTTAAACTGTCTGCTGTGATAAAGAACCGAGTAAAAAACAGGGAAGAACCCGAGACTCGGATCCGAATGGACGGACCTTCTGTAGAATAATCTTGTTGATTTATGTTTTGTTTTTTTTCAGTTGAAAAGCAGCCAGGAGCCCAAAGCGAAGAAAAGCCGCAGGACTCTAATCGTTGAACCCAAAGAGGAAGCCAGTGTAAGTCAGCAGCTTGTTTGTTACAAACCGACTTATTGATGATCTGAAAGGTTTTCTGCAGAAGACTGAAAAAAAATCTGTGGTTGGGATGAAATATCCAACATGAACAGACAATTTTTACTAAAATGGGAAACATATGACTTAAATATAAAGTCACTTAAATATTAATAACAAACCATTAACATTTTGGTTGTCTTTAGTTTTTATTTGCATTTTATTTATTCCTTTAGGTTGTTTTGTTTTTTATATTTATCTTGGATATTTAAAATGTCTTCCAGTTCCAGTGATAATTGTTCACTAGAAAAGTTTCCTGATATTTAATTGCATTTTTAAGCCATTATCAATATATTAGTTTGAAAATATATGGTCTCAAAATGACAATATTATGGTTTCTGGGACAAATTAATGTCCAGCAGATTGTTGAGCACCTAAATCACAATTTAAAGGGAAATTATTACGGATTTTTCAAGAATCTTTTTAGACTTCATAACAAAATGAAGACTTTAAAATAGAACAAACAGAAAACGGAAAGAAAAGAAAAGTGTGAAAGGCAGAAAAATGTTGGACCCTGCCCCTGGGTTCTGCTCTGTAACTGGACCGGGTCGCTCGTTACAGGAGCCGGAGCCGGAGATGGAGGCGGTGAGCTCCAGCCAGGAGATCCCGGTGTCGTCGGCGCCGCCGCCACCCGAGAAGCTGTCGGTATCGACGCAGACCAAGAAGGCGAGCGGCGGCTCGCCGCGCATGCTGCACCGCAGCACGCAGACCAACAGCGAGGGGCCGTGCCACAACATGTGCCACGAGAAGTACAGCAAGGTGTTCGGCGAGGTCAAGGAGATGATGAAGGCCGACAACAAGAGGGAGACGGAGCGCGTCGTCAGGGAGGCGCTGGAGAAGGTCCGCTTGGTTCTGAAGCTCTCCCAGAAATAACCCATCGTTTCTTTACTCTAAAAAACAGATTTTTGTGCTTCTCCTGCAGCTTCGGGCTGAGATGGAGGAGGAGAAACGTCAGGCGGTGAGCAAGGCGGTGGCCGGAGTCCAGGCGGAGATGGAGAGGAAGTGCAAACAGGTGAAGGAGAAGTGCAAAGAGGAGCTGGTGGAGGAGGTGAAGAAGCTGGTGGCCCAACACAAGCAGCTCATCTCCCAGACCAAGAAGAAGCAGTGGGTGAGTCAGTCTGTGCCCGACGGACGCTCCGGTCGGCCCGCTGCCCGACGGACGCTCCGGTCGGCCCGCTGCCCGACGGACGCTCCGGTCGGCCCGCTGCCCGACCGAAGCCAGGAGGCTGGTCTTAGCGTTGTCAATCATCCTCCATATGGCGCTGCTCATCCTCCCCTCTTGCTCTCTGCTTGCTCAGCTAGCATGAGTGCTAATGCTACTTAGCATGGCCACCGTTCTCTGCCATTAGCACATTTGGCAGCAAGTACATGAGTTTGATTGGCAGTGCTAAGCCCCTCCTCCTGACTCTGATTGGTTGTTTTTGTTATATGCTGCACCTTTAACTAACATACTCCATGCTTCTTTGAGTTTGTTGCTGAGCTGGTTAAATAAAGAACTGTGTAATTTTAATAATAAATAATGAAATGCTGTTTTTCAGTGCTATAACTGTGAAGAGGAGGCCATGTACCACTGCTGCTGGAACACCTCCTACTGCTCCATCAAGTGTCAGCAGGAGCACTGGCACGCAGACCACAAACGAACCTGCCGCAGGAAGAGATGAACAAGCCCCACCCCTCCTCACACCTCATTGGCTCCCGCCCTCAGTCAGTGAACAACACACACACACACACACAGCGTTTCTCCCTGGGAACTGGTTGGACCGGATGTTTCTGCTGCGTGGCGAATGATCCCGTTTTATTTAATGTAGCCATCGTTTTCTTTTTTTTTCTCTTGAATCGTGAAGTTTTCTCCGCTGCAGAGATTTTTATGTTCTGTTGTTTTGTTTTTTTACGTTTTCTTTAACGAAATGCTGATGTTGCGTCTATTTAAGTGAGCATTAATAGAAAACCTTTTATGACCTGGATTTAAAAAGAAAATGTTTTGGGGTTTTTTGTGTCCTTGCTGAACAAACTCTGATTTCATCTGTAGCAACCTGAGCTGTCAGCGGTTCGGCTTACAGATTTTAAAGTCATGTTGGATCTTTTTTTTGTTTTAGTTTTATATAAATCTATGGCGGTGGATGCACCTTTTTATCATGTCTACCTAAAATTTTATTGTCCTCAATCATTCATTGGGAACAGGGTCAAAATGTCAACTTTTAAAGCCAGTTGACAAGTAAATCTTCCCCTTATTTTAAATTAATATTATCATAAATGGTATAAATATGCACCAGTTTGGCTTCTCGGCTGACTAGACTGTTTCTCTGAGTCTGAAGGTAAAGAAAAGGTTTACAAATTACTCTAAATCTGGAGAATTTTATAAAAGTCGTCTAATTGGATCACTTTTACTCGTTTAACAATCTAAAACTGCCCGGTTAATCCCCTCTGCCCGGTTTGCTGAACCTACCTGAGAAGATCGGACACGTTGCCTGGACGATCAAATGTATATTTTTGCGAATGTCATCAGTGTCATTTTTCTCGTGGTGTGCGCTAGTTAAAGACTTTCTCACTGCGTTCTGCTGTTGTTGGTGCCTGTTTTCCTTTCTGCCAGTGAGGCCAACATGCATGTCGATAGCTTCACCTCTTTTTCTTTTTTTTTTTTGCGAAAACAAGAAGAAAAACGAGGAGAGATGGACCGAAACTTTATGCAAACATGAGCGTTCAACACTTATCCCCCGCCTGAATTGGATGTGTCAGTGTTTTAATACGGAAAAGAGGCAATAAAATTGCCAAATTGTGATTTTTTTTTTCTTATTTTAACTGATGATCAAGTGAAAAAAATCTACCTATTTAATTTTTCCTGTTGCCTTTTTCCTCAGATTATTTAGGTTTTCATCTAATTTTTTTTTGTAAAAGACGATGAAACGTTTTGCGTCGTGGACGGAAATTTCTTCAGTTCCAGTTCCTGTTTGTTTTTCTGACAATGTTCTTGTTGAATGTTAATTAAATGTGCAGAAACAACATAGTTAGTGTTGTTGTCTGCATGGAAAAATAATGCAAGAGCCACAGCTAGTTAAGATTCAAATAAAATTCTGGATTTTATGTTCTCAGAATATTTGGTCAGAGTTCTCCGCAGGCTTTCAGAAAGTCCAACGACCCGCAGACTTGTTTCATCGTTGCACTACGTGTAAATACGTCAGTAAATCCCACTTTAAATCCACATTTCATTTAATTTCAGAGATCTTCGATGACTGTTAGTTCTAGTTTTGTACAATGTACAACGTTTGTCATATCAGCCGTAGTGACGTTTATCTTGTTGCACCTTCATCAAGTCAAAATATTTCAGCATTTTTTGTTTTTGAAGTTGAATAAACGAGCCTGTCCTTCCAAACTCACCGTTTGCTGATGACACCATTTTGTTACACATCACACAACTTACTTTCCCCTCGGTTTATTTTTTATATTCTTCCATCCAACTGTAACATTTTTTTTAAACTTCTTTTCATACGTGTTTGTAACCTTTTTGATGTCATTTCTTTTTTTTTATTATTGCATGAAATCAAGTATGTGACTCCACTTCGGATTTGTTTTTATTCCGTTTTTTTCCTCCCCGGATGTAAAGAGAAAATGTTTTTGCACTCATCTGAGGAATGCAGTACGAGGATTTTTATTACCCAGGAAGGTTTCGAGCTGGAAGAAGTGAGTCGTTTAACCCGGACTTTACCTGCTCTTATTCCAGGGTATTTCTGTAAATATTACTGTGTGATTACATGAATTCTCCTTGTACTCAAAGTACAAACACCAGGAATAAAATCAGTGTGACGTCTCCTTTGTTTTCGCTTCTCGTAGAACATGCTCTTCTGTTCACATGTAAACTATCATTAACCGAGGCAACGTTTTTTTATGCTCCCAACACTCTAGCTAGCAATATGTATATAAATATATTCTATGTGCTAACATGGGGGAAATAAATGTATCAACAAGTCGGTGTGATTCAGTTCTCCTTATTCTGAGTTCATTAATGGATTCATGATGAAAACCTGAAACCAGCTTCACCAGAAACAGTTTACCTGCCACAGTGGATGATGCTGATGAAACGTACGACGGCGTATGGAAGTAGGGGAAAAAAGTCAATTTCTGCCAAAAAAACAAGGAAACTTTTGAGCTACAAAAGTGGGAAATTCACTAGAGAAACATCAGAATTTCCTAAATTAATCTGAGATTTTCTAACAAAAAAATGTGATTTTTAAAGGTTAAAAATGTTCAATTTTGAAACCCAAAATACTTTCCAAATGTGAAATTTTGATTTTTGAAATTCAGAAATATAGATGTTTTTTCTAGAAAATTAATCTTTCCAAATAAAATTGAGATTACGATAATCTCAGAAATGTACGTGAAATTTTCTTTTGAATTTTGAAAATTTTCAAATTGACCAAAAATTTCCAAAATTAAAAAATTAAACTCCAAAATTTTATTTTTTGCTTAGATTTGATAAATCTACAAAAAAAATTCTGGCTAATTTGACTTTTCAACCGTTCCTTGTTTTTTCTAAAAATAATTCTTAGCAAATGTTCAACTTTTTAAAGAAATTTCACAAAAAGTAACAGCAAAAGTCCAACATTTTTCTAGAAAAACATTTGTCTTGTTTTTTTTCCTATATTTGGGAAATTAATCTCAATCTGAGATATTGGCAGAAATTTACTCATTTTTTTTAATCTTCAATGATTCGCCGTCGTAGAACTGAGACAAATCTCTGCTTGGAGACAAAATGGCTCCCAGAGAAAATGAGAAACTGACACAAGTGAGCAGGAAACTGTTTCTGGACAGAGAAGTGGAGGAACATCAGCAGGACGGGAAACGGTTCCAGGTGAGACTAATTAACTCGCTGTTTTATAAAGAAACTGCTTCATTTACTAAGGTTTTCTGTTGCTTTGGTCTGTTCTGATGAAGGAAGTCGGCTGAAATATCAAGTTCTCCATTTAATTTTGGAGGACTGATCCTGCCAAAACTGGCAATAAAAATAACTTTTATCATGTGATTAGTTGCTTATTGCAACAGGCTGAAACTTGATGTTGACCAATTGGAGATAAGAAGACTCCAAATTCCTGCTCGTATTCTCCTTCCGTATGTCAGTTTATGTATAAAGAGTCCAAAGAAAAACATGAGAAAATAAATTGGTGTATTAAAATAGTGTCAACAAATGAATAAAAAATGCTAATGGGGAAATTTGGAAAAATAATGAAATGTGACAGAAAATGAAAAAATATATACAGAATAAAAAATAAAAACTTTTTTAAAATTAATACAGTTTAAAAAGATAACTATTCATTTATGTTACACCGTATAATGAATAAATTGGAATGTATTAATGACTAAGACATTTACTACTAGATTTATTGCTAATTTTGGCTGTATTAGTCCTCCATACTTACTCTTTTTTGCCTCTATTCAGCTCTGAAACTTTTCCATGTTTTGGGGCATCACAAACTGCTATCAAAATAAAAGAACTTCCTGTTCTGTCAATTTCTGAATATTAACACATTTTATGTACTTTTTGTTTTGTTCCTTTGTAATTTATACCTTAAATTTGAAAATCTTTACTATTTAAAACTGAAAGATTTTAAATGTGGATTTATATTTCTAAAGGGGTAAATTGCAAAGTGATCTATTTTAGTGTTGCACTAAAAAAATAATCTATTTTAGTGTTGCACTAAAATAGATAAGTATTATTTTAGTAATCTATGATGTAATAAGAGTTTTATAAGATTGTCACTTTTTAAATTGAAATACTAAAATGATTTTTTTTATATTGTTAGTGTGATTATTCTCAAATTATTCTTTAAAAATGTTTTTCTGGTTTATTACAGTCTTGTCTGGTTTAAATAAACAAGAACAGCATCTACATTTGTGTCAAAATTGTTGAAATGTTTATTTAAATGAAAGACATGACATCAACACAACTTTTGAAACTTTAAAAAAAAAACTTGACATACATTTCCTGAAATGAAAAACAGAAACGGTGAAGAAAGTGCTTTGTATTTTTTTTTTAAAGAAACATTCTCTGTAGCTCTTTAATGAGTTAAAGGGTCTCTGATAAAACGCTTTGATTTCTACGTATGACATCACTGTTTGAGCCCTGAACCGCCGCGTGGAAAAATATGACGGCTCCTCTGTTCCATATTTACAGCTGGAGACCCAGAAATGAGGCCGACTCCGCCGCCGCTGCTGGGCCGTCTGAACTGGGACCAGTTTCATCCCAGTCAAGGTGAGTAAAAACATCTTAAAGTTTATTGAACGAGTTCGCTCACGATTCCTCTTAGGATCATCAGCAATCTTAATGGAGGAAGTTTTAGCCTGAAATGAATTAATCTGCAACTATTTATGTCTTAGCTACTCTTCAAAATGGGAAAGATTAGAGCACAGATTATCTTACTGAGGGAGATTTGGCCAGGAAGGACTAAATTAGCCAATTTCTAAATTAAATTATTGGTTTGTAAAGTATTTATGTTTTAATTTACCAAAATAAAGTGAATCTGAATCTGCAGTGAAAATTGTCTACTAGAAAAGTTTTGGGCCAAAATAACAGAAATATTTATGGAGATGGAAAAAAAACAATAAATAAACCTAAATTATTGGTTTTCTATAAAATTGTGGCGCTGAATGCAAGATTAATTTATTATAAGGTTTAGATGGTGGTTAAGAAAAAGACTGCATGTAATACTGCTCCTCACCACTAGAGGGCGGCATCGGCATTGATCAGAAACGTTAGTTTTTGTTTAGGGGAAACTTTTTGCCTCAAATCAGATTTTCCCCTTATTCTATCATTTTAGATTTAAATGTATAGTTCGGTTTCATTTACAAAAACGTGATTTTGAACCCAAAAGTGCAATTAGTAAAATTTAGAGGACTTAACAACCTCTTCACGTCAATAAATTGAAAATTTGGACCTTTCTTTTGGAAACTGGATACATTTCAGACCAACCACAGCATTGCAAATCAACCTGCTTTCCTCTGAGATATTAACCTTCATCTGCAATATAATCTATCATATATTTGTGTTTTTTTATTATAATAATATGCTTAAGTCTGCGTCACTAGAGATAATACAATTTCTTTTTATATTAGCAAATATTCAAGAGCAAAAACTTGAATCATAGACTTCTAAAAGAGAAAATAAATTAAATCAGTTTCTTTTTGTACATACTTACACGATACAAGCTGTTTGCGGATAGCAACCGGAGTTAAAGGCTGCGCCTGTGTGGATTTGAGCACCTGGTGAAACGGACCGACTGGTCGGTTAAAAAAAATAAAAATCCAAGGTGAAATGAACGTACCTCCTGGTAAACCCTTAGTCCCCCGCCCTCATATCAAAACATACCCCGCACTTTAATGGCTGTAAAAACACAAAATATTTCAGTTTTTTTGTGTAAATATCATTTTCAAAAAATAAGCCAGGACCTTTCTGACATTTAAAAATAACATACAGAGCGCCAGATGTTGCTGCAGAAGCCAGAAACCAGCTTCCCTTTTCCGAGGAACCGAAAAGTGCCTGCAAGACGAAGAGCAGGGCTAACTTCAGTTTGTTCCCCTCAGTTTTCAAGTCTGTTCCTCCCTCCCTCCACCAGGGGGCGCTACATGTTGTAGGCCACGTAGATGGGGTCGAGCTGGTCGGCCA